ACTTGAGATATGTTTCCCCCTATTTCTAGTGTGCCTTTCTCTGTGTAGGAGCTGAAAAGATAAATATGTTTCCTAGATACTCTCAGCTAGAGTTCTAGATGGGACTTAGGTTTCTCATTCAGATGCACTTGTCATTTAGAAGAGAGGCTTCTGCTGGCAAATGCTATCTTGGGGTATCCAATTTGGTGGTGGCTTCCTGTTTAGGGCGTGTCAGCTTCCAAGTTTTGCAGGTAGGTGCTTGATGACGAAGCTGCCGTTTTCTTCCTAGCTTGATTCTACGGTGTGATTCTCAGTCACTTCTGAAAACTTACCTGATGATTGTTTTCTAAAGTTTCTGACAGCCATCCATCTAATATCCTATACAAAGGTTCTGCTTAAGTTAGATTCACTATCTGCCTCTGGAATTTGACCATACGATCTCCAAGGTAGGATTTTTTTTTTCTTTCAGATTTTATTTATTTATTCCTGAGAGACCCACAGTGTGGCAGGGACCTAGGCAGAGGGAGAAGCAGGCTCCAATGTGGGTTTCAATCCCAGGACCTTGGGATCATGCCCTGAGCCAAAGGCAGATGCTCAACCACTGAGCCACCCATGTGCCCCCAGGATAGGATCTTTCCCTAGTCTTGGTTTTCCTTTCTAGGAAGGATTTTGGGTATCTGCCACCATACCACCACCTGGTCTGAAAGTCTTTTTTATGCTTTTCATGTATTTCCCTTATGAGTAGTTTTTATGTATATCAGATCAGTTATAAAATTTCAGATATTTAATCAAAGCAGCCTCTGTGTTTACTTTCATTGGCATATTTGAAAGTTTTGCTTAGGAAGTAGGATAATTTTTTTAAAAATTTTTATTTATTTACGATAGTCACACAGAGACAGAGCTAGAGAGAGAGGCAGAGACATAGGCAGAGGGAGAAGCAGGCTCCATGCACCGGGAGCCCGACGTGGGATTCGATCCCGGGTCTCCAGGATCGCGCCCTGGGCCAAAGGCAGGCGCCAAACCGCTGCGCCACCCAGGGATCCCAGGATAATTTTTTTTTTGTAGCTTTCATATGCATCCTACATCTTCAAAGCCTTGATGATAGTATAAACCCATCTTACAATAAACCAGGATACCTCTGTATGAATAAATTTCTGCTAGTGTATTTTGTGAAAGAAGTCTTAATTTTATAACCATTCTGAGTTCTTGATGCCATGTGTTTTTTTTTTTTCTCCTGCCTTCAGTTTAAATGTTCATCTTCTTGCTTTCCCTGTCCTACCCTCATGGTGCTTAGTGTGATGGGAGAAACTGAAGTAAGCAGACTGAGCAGACATGTGCTTTCTTTTACTATGTATGCATCTCTCAGATCTGAGAATGTACAGAAAGAGTGGAAAGGAAGCCTTCCTGTAGGATGAACTGATTTTGAGGGGCACCTGGATGGCTCAGTTGGTTAAGCATCTGCCTTAGGCTCAGGTCATGATCCCAGGGTCCTAGGATTTGAGCCCCGCATTGGGAATCCCTACTCAGCAGGGAGCCTGGTACTCCCTCTCCTCCTCACTTGTTCTCACTATCTCTGTCTTTCAAGTAAATCTTAAAAAAAAAAAAAACTATAACTGATTTTGAAGAAACCATAGGGTTCTAAACAGCCTAGTGTGAAAGAAGGGGTGATGATGAATGCTTTGGGTAGAGCAATATTTGAGAAGTGCAGAGACTCTGATGTGGGAAAAACCTGGGTTCTGTAAACTGCAGGAAACTCTTAGAGCCAGGTTAAATGGGGGGGGGGGGGGGAAACGCACGGGAAGGCAGACATTCAGCTGCTGAGCCACCCAGGTGTCCCTTTCTGGCCCTTTCTTTGTCTGACTGACCATGTGATTCCATATCCCCAAAGACCCGAGATAAGCATTCAGGCGACAGAACCTTTAGAGGGCAGGGATTAATTGCTAATAGGAGGTGTGTGCCTCCAATGGCCTCAGGAACTTGGACTTTAGAACTTGGACACATAGGAACTTTGACTTTATTCTAAACCTGTGGCAGACCAGGAAGGACTTGTAATTGAAGACTGAGTGACCTAGGTTTGCATTTTCGAATGTGTACTTTCATAAAATTGTCAAGTATAAACAACTATGTCAGTTACATAAACCTGGTTAAGTGCTGAGCCTTTGTTTATTAAGTTTACCTATGTTCTGACTCCTCTGTCCTAACAGAGGATCTAAGAGAGTTTGTAATTCCAGATAACTTTAAACAGCTGGGCTAAATATAAATAGAAAATTGGGATCAAGGAAAAAATCTCTCTGTAAAAATAAGTGTTTGGTTTCTCTGATTCAGCTTCAAGCTTAGCTCAGGGTTGACCAGTTTCCCAACTAGAAAGAGGAATTTAAGGGGGGAAGGAACAGGTTGTGCAGAAGCAGTGTCTTCTAGCCTTGAATTACATGGAACTTTTTATGACTGGTGCACAGAGCAATAGAGCTATCAACCTTAACGTGTTATAGCAATTATGGTAATGGCTTTCAAAGACGATTTCTTAGGGGTGTTTTTGAGAAGTTAAGGGCTATACAATAAAATGTGAATTTAATGTTAGAGGCTGTAAGGACTGAATATACAACTTCTAGGGTGGAAGAATCAGGGATATGCACTAGATTCCTAGAGTGTGAATGGCTTGCTCCATTAGCTGTCCTATATCTATTAACTCTCTCAGATTTGTACAAAAAGCAACTGTGGAGTAGGACAGATGATATTTAATCTGAAAGGACTTTATAGTAGGTGTTTTAAGTTTACTTTTGAAATAGAAAAATCTATCTGTAGGGCTGGCAAAGCCTGATTCTAAGAATCGTGCTGCAGAGACCCGCTTATGCTATAAACTTTTCTAGTAACTGTTTTGCTATGTGTTATGATCTTAGTGACCAAGTGAGTTTTAAAGAAGTTTGCCAATGACCATGATTTAGTGTATATCTACCCTTTCTTTCCTGCAGCAGATCATGGTATCCTCCTGGTTCGTGAAGGAGTACTCGATAAGGCATAACATAAAGATCTCCTTTCAGGCATGGCATAGTAGAAAGGTGTGGAGATTAAGACATGTAGGAAGTACTTGCACAGAGTCAACCCACAGTAAATGTGAAGTCCCTTCTCCTCCTCAAGGCACTAACTCCTAGACAACATTTGTGTTGTCATTAAATCTGATTGCCATGATGAATATAGAGGATGACTATTTTTAACAAAGCAGTGAAGCCTTTTTTTCATTTTTTTTTTTCGTTGGCTGTGGCTTTAGGATTCTAAGAGAGGGGAAAGGTAAGCAGGATGCTTGGAAAGCTATGTTGGAAGATGTGCTACTTGAAAGGATAGTTGGGTTCAGGGAAGTACTGTAATTACTTGATCAAAGATAGAAACACAAAAGCAGAGAAATGTACTGATCAAATTCTTGTGAGAAGAGGGAGCTCATCCTTGGGGGAATCAAAGAAAATACTCAGCTGAGTAAAATTGATCAAACTTGTTTTTTAAGTCACCAGGGATACACGAGCTACCAATCTATGTAGTGTAAAGTGAAGGGAGGACAGTTTGGAAAAACTTAGTGATACAGAAAACAATTATGTGTTTCCCATTCATTAGGCTGAAATTTTTTTTGCTATTTTTACACCCCCAATTCTATAATAGTTCCCCTTTTCGCTGTATTATAATGTTTAAATGTATTTTTAACTTTTAGGTTAACATTCAATAGCAACTAATCAGAAATTCTAGTTTTACACATGGGGAAGCATTTGACAAGTATCAATAGGAGAAAATTTAAAAATATTCTTTAGATATAAGAAAATAGACTTCCTGGTCTCTTATCCTTTTTTGAAAGCAGGAATATTTTAAAGGCAACTTTATCTCAGAATTGCAGAGAAAACTTTGATATTTAAATTTGGTTTCAGAAAAAATGTGAATTCTAGATCATCAGTCATATGGCAACAAAGGTGTAATTTTCCTAAAAATATGTTTTAACAGGAATATTTTCATGCAAAGCATCTTATTTTCCTCTGAAAGTCATGCTTTTCCCAGCAACCAGTAATTTCATTTTAGTATTTTAATCAGTATTTTTCTCTTTTCCACAATCTGTTGATAGTGGTGGGAAATTTGAACTTGACACTGTTTAGCCATGCAGTTCTTGAAATTAGTATGTCTTTCTCAATGGGGACATCATATGAATAGGGAATCAAACTGTTGATTCAGTATAGAAATAGTGAAGAAGCAGTTCACTGTGACATCATAAAACATTCAAAATGAAAATTACAAGGAAGTTGTAAGGGAAGGAAGATGTCTTAAGGTTCAAACTCTCAAGAAAAATTCAACAAAACTAGAGAGGTCATTTTCCATAGGTCTAGTAATGACTCCCTGTTAAGGTTTAAACTGAAAAGAAAGTGTTACTGTTTTAGTTTTTGTTTTGTTTTGCTGAAGGACTATAAAGGGTTTGACTTGTGTTTTCATTTAAAGTTCTGCAAAGGATTCTAATGTCCTCCCAAAGTTGAGAAATCCTGCTTTGTTTTTTTTTTTTTTTTTTTTTTTTTTTTTTTTTTTTTTAAGATTTTCATTATTCATGAGAAACACAGAGAGGTCAGAAGGAGAAGCAGGCTCCCTGCAGGGAGCCCCATGTGGGACTCATCCCAGGACCCTGGGATCCTGTCCTGAGCGGAAGGCAGACACTCGACCACTGAACTACCCAGACATCCCAAGAAATCCTGCTTTCTTCTCAACACATGACCTTCTCTTTAGCTCACTTAGCCAGGATTCCTGAAAGTAAAGCATTTCTTAATTTTAGATTAAGCCAATATTAGAAAATATCCATATTAAAATTATTCTCATGGGAAACTTTTTTTTTTAAGCTACTATGCCCTTCATTGTTTTATTCTACTCTAGCAAGAGAATTCTAATCTAGCAAGTTTCTGTGAATTACTCTATCTCTTCTGTAAATCATTCTCTACTACCCACCATTGGTTCCTAGCTCTGGACTGTAACTTCATCATTTTGACAACTATTACTTTCCTTACCTCAATATGCTGCTACTTCTCCTTTTATCTTTACTTTTGGCTCCTATTTCAACTTTGGTCATCTTCACGCTGTTCGTTAAGCAGCTCTGACCCATTGCCATCCCACAGGCTTCTGTTCTGCCCACACAGTCTTGAAACCGTTTGGGTTGCTGTTGGAGATTGTGAAGGCTTGGCTCTTGCTTGAAGAAACTTCCATTCTTCTGTTCATCCTGCCAAATCTCTGTCTACATGTAAAATGTAGTGTGAATTTTGCTTCCTGATGAAATGATAAAAATACCAGTTACCCTCCCCCAATCATCAAATGAAAACCAGTCTTTATAATAAAGGACACATTTCTAGAGAATATGGCTTGGTTTTGTCAATTTTGTAAGGGTACCCCAATGATAGCTTTAGAAATCCTCTAGGAGACCAAAAGTTCTTGAAGGTGTCAGTTTGCTATAAAAATAATCCTAAAAACTTTCTGAAATCTTCAAATAGGATTAATTCTCTAAGGCTTAAGTTATTTGACAACTAGTATTGTATTCAGTGAAATTTTATGTAGAGTTTGGTTCCATGTGTTTTTTTTTTCTAGGCTACTCTTAGAGTGAATTAAAAGGACTTTAATGTTCTCTGATGCCTGTAAAAAGATGCAAACAATTTATAAGCATTTGAGTGGGCCATGCGGCTTGGCTTCAGGACCTGTGAGGAAAAACTTGCAGTTAGTAATTCACCGAGCACATCAGCAATGAATCCAGAACGGGTCTTAGATATGAAAAATCCCAACAGGAAATGTGCATGAAGAGTATCAGAATGAAGCAGGTGATATTTTTCTCCCTGTCAGTTTTGACTGAACTTCACTGGAGATAGCATGTTTGCCTCTACAGAGCGCAAAGTTCAGAAAGAGCTGTAGACATCCTTAGGAGTTCAGGGGAGGGTAACAGGAGGAGGAGGTCTCCAGAGGAACAAGTCCATTAATGGAGCTGTTTGGCTGGCAAAAGGGAAAGCTTACCAGGGGACCTAATCACTGTTTTCAAATATCACAAGGACTCATGTGTGGAAGCTGCATCCACCTTGTCGGGTAGAGACTAGGGACACAGGGTGCATTTAAAGGATGTGGGGAAAAATTCATGATCTAGAAAATCATGGTCTCCAAGAAAACCTTTCTGATATTCTAGGATATATACTATTTTCTTACACCTTGATTTCTTAGCACATTTTCTCCCAGTTAATTTAGAATTTAGCAATGGGCTATTTACTACTTTACCACAGGTTCTTAGATCTTTGGTTGTTTACGTTTTCTTGGACTCTCTTCCTCCTCTTACCACATACTAAGCCTTATGTAAATGTAAGACCTTATCATTGCTTAGCAAAGACATTTTAAAAAATATTAAGTCCTTAACATAATGTGTACAGAAAAGAAAAAGGAATTTAATGACCTGGGACAAGTTGTTCTGCTAAGTGGGTAAAGAATGAGGTTAACTTTCCACTGTCCTAGACTTATCTGTACATTTGATAATTTGAATGAATTACCTCTACCCATTCAAATGTACATCTGAGAAAATATTGCGGATGGATATCAAGTATCATTACTCAGGGCAAGTGCAGGAAGAAGAGGCACAGTTATTCCCCTTGATGGGCAAAGCTGAATTCAGGATTGGCATCTTATTTTGGAAGGTTACTCCTTTCCTATCCAGTGTGAGATAATCAAGAGGAAAAAAAAAACTGAAAAAAAATTGTTCGAACTTTTCATTGCTTTATTTTCAAAGCTTTGAAAATTAGTAAATACTGAGATTTCCTTAATTAAGAACACTTCTGAAAGCATGAGGTGTGGGCAATGTTCAAATAAGTGTAAAGAAAAGATTAAAATATAAGGAAAAACATCTTACGAGGCCCTGCCACTTTAGAGGTATTGACAACAGAGATAGAACCTGGCAATATGCACATAGATAAATACCATGTCTTTTTTCAGCTTGGATATTCTGAATGGTCCTCCTAATTGAAATAACTAAATGCTGAATGAAATGGGGTAAAAATTCTTTAAAGATTTCAGAATAAAGAAAAATAACTGCAATCCTATGCAGATAAAATCACTGTAGATATATTCAGGTACTTTATTTCATTTATGTAGAAAGTGATCTAGAAAACTAGGTTGCTTCTCATACAGCAGGATTAAGAGGTCTGGCTCAAAGTTTTTTAGTATTTCTAGAATTTCTGATACTTCTTAGAATCTCAGTAAAAGTATTAATGCTCCAGTCCTAGAGATCCGAATTTAATTGGTCTGGGGTGGAGCCCAGATCCCAGCAATTATTAAAGTTCCCCAGTGTTTCTAATGTCCTGCGAAGGTTGAGAAAACTGATCTATTTGTAGATTTTTGTTGTTATTGATTAGCACTACCTTCTTGGTGGATGAGACTTGATCTCCTAAGCAGAACTGCACTGTTCCTTGCTTGGGGTCTTGGGGTACACATCTATTTCATGAAATTGTTGGTCTTATCTCTGCTGGTTACTCCAAATCACTCTAATCCTATTTATTATCTGAGATCTTGAATTGTATACTAAATGCTTATTGGACATTTTCATTAAAACATTTCTCTCAAACTCCCTGAGCCTCCCCATAGCATTAGCAGTCCCTCCTGTGAAAGCCTGCAGCCATCTTTGACCTGCGGATGCCTCCAGAATTCCTGTCCTCTCTGTCCAACTGCTTCCATTAAGTGGAAGTCTCTAGCCTTTCATTCCTGGAGTCATCCCTTTACTCCAGTCTCTCACTAGCTGGCATGGTTATTATTTGTAACAGCTTCCTGGCCTTCCCAAATGTAGGCCTTATGAACTTCGATGTATCCTGTGTATGCTTAGCAGATGAATTTAAGCCTTGCTTTAATTTCATCCCCACCTTTCATGGATTCCTGTTTTTATTTATTTTTTTTCTGTGCCAAAGTCTGCATAATTTGACCTAAGCCTTTCCACTTAACATTGTTTAATGCTGTTTGTTCTTTTTTCTTTTTCTTTTTCTTTTTTTCTGGAAAGTCTCCTATATGCTCCACAGCATGCTTTGATTAATTCAGTGTTTCCCCAAAGTTGATGCTTCTCACTGATGACACTTGAGATGATTTTGGGTGGTATATGAATACACTTCAAGAATGTTTAGTTATATATTTAAGTTTAATGTAAACTAGAAAAACGCACATGTACTTCAAATCCATGATTTGACAGATTTTTATGGCTTAGACTGAGACTAAAGTAAATATTCAAGTTTTTTAAAGTATCAATTTAAATAAAATGTTAAATATGTAATATGGAAAAACTGAAGGTGATACATGAATAGCTAACATCCATAAAAAGAGTGATTTATGTTATTTTCACTTTCTGGAATATGGCAGGACAGATTCTGCTCATTCTTTCAGGCCTAATTTAACTTTAGAAATCTTCATAAAGTCAACCATGCCAAACCTGCTGGAGAGCTGTAGAAGGATTAAGAAAAACAAAAACCATTGGTTTTGACCCAGAACCCTAGTAATGTGTAAATGTAAGGTTTTGTTGAATGGGGAGCTGATGTGGTAATTCCAGATGGGCAAGTCATTTGAATGGCAAAGAGGGAGGAGCTAGGATCAGTACTCAAGGTGAGACCCAGTTGAGCGCACAGGTAGCTCCACACTGCCATCTACACAGGCAGCTTCCTCCTAAAAGTTGGACAAGTACAGATAAAGAAACATCAGAGCTATAGTATTGCCATACCTTTTGTCTTCTCGTGTACTACCTCTTTTCCCCTCTTCTACTGAAACCTTGCCCTGGTATGCATTCCAAATGGAGACCACGGTCCAGGAGCTAGTCTTGGGTGGCTAGGGTGTAAGGCACAGATAGGCAGTGAGAAAGCGTGCTGTGGGCTGTCATAGCTTGTCTAGCCCCTTCATGCTTGAAAAACCAGTCTTAGAGTACTTTGGGGAAAGAAACCCAAGGTGGCAATTAATGCTCTTCATCCTCCCCCACTCCGTAAATAGAGGCTTTTCCCATGGTTGAATCATGGTTAAATCATAGGATGTTTGTTTCTCTTTTCCTGTGCTTTCTCCCTCAGGGATCTCCTACACTCCCACGTCTGCCATGAATGTGCCCGACTAGATGGGAGTCCGGTAATCACGGTGGCTGTGAGGCAGCCCTTCCTTTCCCCCTGGAATTAAATCAGTCAACTGTGAAACCAGTTTTTCACAGTAATTCTTAGTGGTTTCACTTTTTATCAAACAAGAGGAAGAAATTCAAGTGAAATTGAGTGTGTGTGTGTGCACGCATGTGCATGTGTACGTGTATGTGTGAGTAAAAACTGAACTATAGGTTGGGTGTCAGGTTTTACTTTTAGCTCTGCCTTTAGCAAGCTGGGTGTGTGCAACTTGTTTCCTCATCACTAACATGAAGTGTGGGACTAGAACACCTCTAGTCTGCTCCCAGCTCAGAGTGAAGAATGCTTTTCTCTCAAGTTTTATTAGAGTGTTTCCCTCCATTTCCTTAAGTCTTCTGTGGACTCACTGCCAGATACACTGGAATCCAGTCTACCAACTGATGTGGAAGGCTCATTTAAGAGGCAGGTGGTTAGGTTTAATCCAACTGCTGCCGGCATTCTGGATATTGAGAGGAGAAGAGTGACTAGTTTTATCAGCTCCCAGTTTGACTAAGAAGTGGTGAGAAGTTGTTCTGAGAAGTTGTCATCAGAAAGAGGTAGAAAGGTTTTAAAACCTGAAGGTAGGTGGCTTGATTACCAAGGCAAGGACCTCAAACTTGTTTAAGGAGTAATAGTCCTCTGTTGATGGCTTTGAGAACATCTAAACACAACCATTTAGACATTTCTGGAAGTCTGAAGAAATCTGGCAGTTTATTCTTCTACCTCAGGAAAAACTTTATATTTTAACATGAGAAGCTCCACCTCCAGATAAATTCTTCTGGTGTTTGAGAGCTCATAACATTATATATCCACTGTTCCATTTCCAGAGAGTGCTGACCTACTTTAGATGTGTATGGTGTTTTCTAGGGAGTTGAAGAACACTGATTATATGCTATTGGGGTGTGTGTGTGTGTGTGTGTGTGTGTGTGTGTGTGTGTGTGTAAAAGTTTGCAACTCTTTTTTTTTTTTTTTTTTTTTTTTTTTTTTAGGGAAAGCTTAGCATTTAACCAAAGAATACTCTGGGTGGTCATTCTGCTTGTACACCTGGCAGGTTAAAATTATGTTGAGAGATTTTAATGTGTCACTATTTTTTTTTCCTATTTTTCTGTCTTGGCATGAGAAGTACTCTGACAGGTCCTTGTTCTTGAGAATCTGAGTGTTGCAAGAGCTCTAAGAATGATCATTCCTAACAGACCTTTTTACCATAGGCTATCCCTGCATTCATCCCAGACCACATATCATTTTCCCAAGAACATAACTCAAAAGGATTTATTTCAACAATGAGTAACACTGTCTAACATTCTGACTGAAAACAAGAGTTCTATCTTCCAAGATAGAACCATGTCCTCCTTTCCAAGGAAGATTTTTATTTATTTTTATTTATTCATGAGAGACAGAAAGAAGCAGAGACACAGGCAGAGGGAGAAGCAGACTCCATGCAGGGAGCCTGATGCAGGACTCAATCCTGGGACTCCAGGATCAAGGAAGATTTTTAATGAAAACTACTTTGGAAGAAAAACTCGTGTAAGTCCAGGATAATTCTTCTTTTCAAGGTGTTCTGTGTGTGTGTGTGTATATATATATATATACATACACACACACACACACACACACACACATACACAAATGAACATCAGAGAATCTTTGTTTAACTCTATTTCAAGAACAGCAATAATAGTGGATATCATTTGTTGGGCAGACCATGAGCCCTAGGAGTTTGGCATATTAACTCTGCAATCCTCTTAACCAACCCACTGGATCGTGATCCTTGTTTAGCAGATGATGAAATGAGACTCCAGGAGGTTAAGTATTAGGTTCAGCTAATAAACTCTGGCCTCCTTCCTTACAAAGTGTATGTACCTTATTATGCTACTTAAGTTTTCTTAACCCCCCCCCACCATTTACAAGGAATTTTATAATTGTTTAAAGAAGAGATATCAGCTTTCAAGTTCTTATTAAGAATGAGTTTCTTGGAATTCACTCAGACACAATTAGAACAAGCCACAAACATGCATCCATGATTTACAAAAAGGGAATAGATTTGGAGAAATAAGTTAGGTTCTAGTATTATCATCTCTTTGGTGTTGGAAGGGACTTTTGAAGTGTCGTCAGAACATCTGGTATGGGGATTCCCTCTGCCACTGCCCTTAGGGGGAACTACTTGAGCTCATTTAGTGATGGGAGATGCAGAACTTTACAGACAGAATTTTCCATTTTTGGACAGTTTGGATGATTAGTAATAATACTTCACATTTATATATTCTTTGCAGTTGACCTGTTGCTCAGCCCTTTAGCACATCTTGTTTTGTTTATGAAAGCTTGTTCCTATTGTGAGTCTGAGTCTGTTCTCCCATTAACTGCAGTTCATAGGAATGATGGAAACTTTTTCTGTATAGAATATGAATAAGAGGGGGACAGTGTTGGGGTGAATAATTTTTAATTTAGTTATTCCTAATGTATCTTTTGGCAAAGGTGGTTTTGGTGCACATATTCCTTGTAGATCTGACAACAATGAGTATTTGCCTTCCTCTTGTATGATCCCCTTCTGAAGCTACAAGACCAAGAGCTTTGCTGATACAGCTCTGTGTATCCTCCTTTTCTTCCCCACCCCAGGCATGGAAAAAAAAAAAAAGCAACACAGAAGACAGGAATGTTTCTGACCAACAACAATAACTTGACACTTTAGCAACAGTAGATCTGCCTGTAAATAGAGAGTTACAAAGTAAATCCTTGGTTAAGATTGTTGGTTTAGTTTCAGAAATTGAAATTTTAACTTTTGACTTATTTGTTAATGTTGGTTAGACACACAAAAGAACCTTATATTACATATTCTTAATTGTACTTTTTGTGCTCTTTAAAAATGCATTCTGATGGTTTGGTAACTGGGGGAAAAACCTAAACCTCTTTTCCTTTTGAATTGGAAAGAAGCCGTACATCGCTTCTCGGCCTTTTGGCTAAGATCAAGTGGAAAGAAGCCATATATTTCTAACTTGAGACCTTTGTGTATACATAAGGTGTATCCTTTTTTCCCCCACTTTTCTCATTCTTTTTTTAAAAAATATTTTGACAGCAAGGAGGCTCAGGTGCACAAGCAGGGGAGAGGGCAGATGGAGAGGGGCACACATAGGGAAGGGGCAGGACCCTGGAATCATGACCCAAGCCAAAGGCAGATGCTCAACTGACTGGGCTGCCCAGCTGCCCCTACTTTTCTCATTCTTGTGTGTAAAGTGTATGTGTGTAAAAGGGAATGTGCAATCAGAGTTCAGAAAATGCATATGCAAAATTCACATGGATCAAATCATGTGATTTCTAGGTTCTAATTCCTACATGACTCAAGTCTGTGGAGCATGCTTGTCCTGACCCTCAGTTAAGACACCTGCACCAACGGTTTGGTTGATTCTTTCCAACCAGGTTTGTGTCCTCATAATTGTTATTTGATGGGTGGATTTTACCTTTTGATTTGTGGGGGAGTATGCTCCAAGATCAGAATTTAAAATCTGTAATCCTACCTGATATTTCACTTTGTCAGAGATTAGACTAGTCTGAGAGGACTCTATTCAACCATGTTGGTTTCTTTTGAGAATCTCCTCAAAGTGTTTGCCTGTTGGTATATTTTCCTACTTCCTTTTTTTTTTTTTTTTTGCCTTCAGACATGTCAGTCATCTAATACCAATGGATATTCCTTTCTCTTTAAGGGAGATAAGCAGTTAGTCTATACTTTCTCAGTTTCCTTTGCCTTTCTCTATTAGTTCTGTTCTCTCCAAAATGGTAGCCGGTGGCCTGCCTCTGAGAGGCAGTTTAAAAAATTATACCAGGAATCAAAACCCTTTGTATGCATATTTTTACATACTGAATTTACATGATATATGCAATTTGAATGTTGTGTACTGGATTTTAATTCTCAAGTCTGAGTTAAGTGGCATTGCCCTCATTTTACATCTAAAAAGACTGATGATCAGAGTAGTTAAGTAACCTATCCAGTGTTGTTAGTAAGCAATAGAGCTGATAGTGGAATTATAAAAATACAGGGTGGTGAGGTAGTTGGGTAAAGGTTAACATGAGAGGCTGTGTCAAAAAAAAAAAAATTGGCCATATCTATTCTGACCAAACTGGGGAGTTGGAGACATATTGTTTATCATCAATTAACTGAATATTGGGGATGAGGTTAATAGTTATTATTGTATAGCTTTAAGGAGAAGAAAAACAAGCATGTTTTTTGTTCAAATATAATAGAAAATATGCTTCCAGGAAGCAGAATTCTATCCTCATCCTTATCCCACCCATAAGACACCCACACATTTGAGTTTCCTCAAGAAGGACTTGTCATTTAAAATTGTCTTAAGATGGATGTATGGGACCATCTCAAATACTTCTGAAAAGTGTTCAGATAGACACAGAATCATTGTTCAATGATATAGACTTTCTTAGCATTGGATGCTATGGATACTACAAAGAAAGACTGGCACAGTCCTTCTCTTCCAGAGATCATACTGAGCATAACACTTGGAAGAGCAACAGAGAAGTTGCTCAAGGTCAGAGGGGACAGATAGGATGCTTCCAGACTATGGCTGAGAAGGGGCAACTTGGTCCTAGTTGTGCTGGGGACATGGTGGTGAGTGAGAGGATATCCCAGCTCACAAGGAACTGGGTGAGCTCTTCTTTTAGGAGTGTTGATTGGTCCTGCTTAGG